AGAAGGCTCAGCTGGGATTCACTAAAGGACATGGTTGCCTGAAGTGGAACTGTGCTGGTATTTAAGCACCTTTATAGGTCTAAGAGACAAATTCATAGCTTGTGGGTAGAACARTTCTTCAGTCCTGGTTCATGAGGCACTGATGTAGGCCTGGAAAAGTAACTTGATACGGAGGAGTAGACCTCACTGAGGAGACATAAAGGTCTTGGTATCGATTTTGTATTTTATCTAAATAGAATTTCACATAAAATGCACAAGTTATTCTCGGAACAGAGTTTATATCCAAATATTCCTCTAATCTATGACTTAAGAGGTTAAACTTTCTCCAGTTCTAAAATTCTGCATTTGTTTTCTGCAAAGTGTCCTGTTTCTGAAGACAACTGCTTAGGTACCTTAGTGCATGAGACAGCTGCAGAATATGGACCCTGACCTGAAATGTCCCTGCCACCCAGCATTAAGTATCTAAACCCAGATAGGGCAAGGGTGTAAGACATATTCCTCCAGCAGGGATTTTTATTAGAAAACTTTGGCAGCTCCATGTCGTTGTCTCCATGTCTTTTGGCAGCATACATTGTCTATTTTGATCCTAATTCAGTGACTAGAGGGTTTAGATGTTTTATTCAGGGGTGTAAATACCACTGGACACATAAAATTTAGTATAGTGACTCAGAACTTTGTCATATTAACCTTCCTTTAGGGATCTAGTTCATACTGTGTCCTCTTTATTTTTTCATTTCCAATATTAACTAGGCCTTTAAAGGTTGTAGCTTGTTTCAGAGCCTATCCTCTGTTGAGCCAAAAGTCACTCACTGATGGATAAAACCCAGCAAGCAATTAGCAACAGCAAGTACTTAAGTTAATATTGATGTAACTTGCTCTGCCTATCTCCTAGCAAGGTACCTGAATGAGAAATTCTTCTAGCTCCTCTCTCTTCAGCCCATTTAACAACAGATTAGAGGTGCCAAAATATGAAAATTCATTTATCTGTTACAAGGGCAGTTTGGATAATAGCCATGGGACATACCTCCCATGGTATGGAATGTATATAGACCTCATATACCTTTTTATAACTCAAGGAAGCCTTTCTCAATTATAGTATTTTTAATCACTATGCCATACCAGAGTGAAGCTCATTGTGACACCATGTAGGATTGCACCTTCTTTTTGTTCTATAGCTTGAAGAAATAACTAGAAGCTACTAAAAATTAAAGTATTAACTAGAAATAYGCTACTAGGCTTTGTAGGCAAGCTAAATATGAATCATTGCAAGAGCACAACACACCACTTATTCCCTGTAATAAGTAAAACTCAATATTTTGCCAATGTTATAAGGTGTTTCTTCCATTCTACAAACAAAAGTAAGAGAATTTTTTAAAGATACCTTATCAAACGATAAACAAAAAAAAAAGATAAAATTACTTGCTTTGTTGTTTTAAGCACATACATACTTTCAAGTTCGGGCACCTGTGCTCACAGATCAGTGTAGAGTCCTGTTTTGCAATCATAAGGTTACGATATGCTGATTAAATATTTTAAATATAGAACATAAAATCCCAGTCCAAATCTGAGAAATGCTAACAATATTCCACTTGTGTGTAGATGAAATATGCTTATTCTAACTTTCAAATATTTACCCTAAATAYCAGCTCTTAACGACTGTACATGTTAAAATGGCAAACCCAGATGTTTAACCTGTTGGATACAGGAATACAGCTGTTTAAAGCACACTTTCTGTAGAGACTGAAGTAATTTAGCTAAATGTTAGCTGATATTTAGTCATTTATATTATGACACATGCGAAAAGACCCCTAATTTTTAATGAATGTCTGTATTAATAGATTCTCTCTATTTATTCGTTGCATTATTTTTGCGGGCCGTATTGACTCTCCTGAGCTSTCCATAACATTTTTCAGTCATTGTCCAGAGTCTGATTCAATTCCTCCACACATGGTCCTGGTCCCATCAATCATCCCTGACTCCATTTCTTGCTCCCCAATCAGCTGAGCTGAGCCTTTGACAATGAACCAAATATTTTGGGTTGAAATGAATGAGAAAAACCATTTCCAACTTGCAGATTACAGACAACTACACAGAAAGGTTCCCATGGCTCAGGATCCTCATGGCTCAAGGATGTCTATGGTACCATCATGTGAAGGAGCAAACGACTCCTTAAAATGCACACTCGTTAGAGTCTTCAAGTCTTCAAGACTAAACAAAAAAACACAAGACTTTTCCAGTTCCACACTAACAGAACTGTTCAGATCTGCTTAAAATAAGACATGTGTCCAAGATATTTAAAGTTCTTTAGCTATCTCAGGTACTTAGGGATTTAGACTGTGTCAGAGAAAGACTTCTCTAAAAAAAAAGACATTACAAGTTCTGGGAAAACTCCTCTGTGATGGGATTATGAAATGAGTCTAGSCTCAAATAGAACACAAGGTAGCTGTTGTTTTGAGCAGAGAACCACTTTGATTTTAAGTTGTTTGAGAAAGTAGGAACCCATCTATGCACAGAGGTATAGGCAAACCCCGGTGACCACAGTCCTTCTTACAATAATACTCCTCCAATGGTTAAAGTACATTCTGCTGAATGAAAAAAGCAGGTTTGGTAAAACTGAAGATATTCAAACATGGATTTGAATCCTGTGACTTTGTCTGTAGAGCTTTTACCTAACAGGTCAGGAACCTGGACTTTGGTCCTTACTCTGAAGCTTATGAATTTTGCTCTAAGASCAACATGGTAAATTAAATTGTAGAGGCTTTTAACTGCCAACTGAATCTAAAGATTCTGATTTGTGCCATTGTGGTTTTAATWGTAAGATTCAAATGTGCCCTATGCCCTTGATTTCTCTCACCTGAGGAACCTGGTACTTGACTGCATTGTGACACTTTCAGCAGGACAGGTCCATGATGCTTTCTTCACTTTTTATACCTCTATCTGAGGACCTTGATTCTATCAGAATATATTAGATACTATTTCAGAGCTTCCATTGTAGTGGGAAGTGAAACAATACCTGCTATCTCTATCTCAGTGAGGCTGAAATTCTGGTCCTCTTAGGCCAGGGACTCATCACACTGCAGAGGATGAACTACCAGAAGTAAGGCAATGTTGTGCCTTTTGGAGAAGTGCCTACAAAARTCATGAAAAGGCTAGGTGCTTTCAGCATTTGTTGTCTCCAGATAAAGCAAGGTCTACAATCATTATTTTGGACTTACACTGATTTAACTTCAATCCTGCTTTAAGTCTAAGTCTAAGCTTTTTATTGGATTCATCTCCTAATGCCTACTGAATTAATTTCTTTCTCTCAATAAATATTTTGTTCGTATATGCCTTTGAACATCTGGACACAGCCTTCCGTGTCGMTCCTTAATGCCTCTAGTCCATCGTTATAACTCATTCAAGGATTTCTGTCAAAAGTTGTCAAGGTATCCAGCCATCAAAACACATATCAGCAATGGATCACACACAGACTTACTAACACCACTGAATGCATTACTCCCAAAATTTTCAAAGTTTTACCCCACTGGAACAGGAATGCCAAGGTGCCTCCTGTAGCACAGCATCCKATCATCCTGAAACATGTGAATAAGTTTTACATGGACTTTAAAACATTTATTTCAGAGCTAAGCTAACAGCTAAATAATTCTGCTATTACATAGCTTCAGCCATGTATTGCAATCAAGACTTTCACAGTTATGGTGTTTCACAGTGCCAGTAAGGAAAGTGAAACAGACCTTTAAAACAACTCTTCCTAAATTCTATAGCTTCAGCAACATTATGGAGTCTTGGTGCTYCTTTTAATATCCTGCATCAGCAGCCATCCTCTGGGAAATTGCTCAAGAGCATCATAACCTGTGCATCCTTTTCCTTCTGGAATAAATTTGGGCATGATCCTGTGTGGGACACTGGCAGTTATGGAGCAGCAAAGCTGCCAGTGTGTCTGCCCCACAGGACTGCTGCACAGTATCAATTTGGGCTCCCCTAGGGTAGATTCTAGCCTTTTCTGCTTCACCCAAACCACACAAAGCAGCGTCACTGAACACCAGGGTTGTGCCCAGTGTTTTCTCTTGGCGTTTGATTAGCTCTTGGTAGCAAGCCATAGGAAAAAAGCAGTAAACCTAATTTCAGACATGCTCCACACAGTCATAGCACTCCTTTGTAAAATTTATTTGATGCTTTGTAGATATGCTCAAGCAGCACTGAGAAAAAATGTCAAAGATTTTGCCCAGAATAACAGTTCAGTGAAATTCTCAGTCATGTTATTCAGTCCRCATTTACAAAACTCGTAATCTTTCATGCACATGAGTGAACAATAAGGGGCTTGTGGCTGTGGCCTTCCATCTTTACATGGTGCAAACAGCACATCTATTCTGCTTTGTAGTTACATCCTGAAAGTTACATGCTGTAACTGAAGTCAAAGCCTTACATTTTCAAATAGGGGTACCACTTARGCTCTTAGGCAAAATAATGAAATAAAAATTTGGAAAAATATATTAAACTATCAACAGATGCATTGCTTACAGCATTGGCTAATTACACTAGCAGATTATCAACTGCAATGTCAGCACCAAAATACTGACTTATGTTTTGTGTTGTTCCTTGTGTTGTTATGTACCACACAGAATCTTAGGGAAAAAAAATCCCAGAAAAAAATATGAAGCTTTAATGCAAAAGAAATTAAAGCAAGTAAATGGTGAGTTTAAGTACTAGAGACATGACTCATTGTTTCTGCATATCCCACTAAGAAACAACAACTGTACTTCATTTCCACTTGATGTGCTTCAGAACTCATACAGGTATTTAATGATCCAACAGAATGGTCCTGCATTGTTTAATTACTTACATGAAGGCTCAAGTCCATATGTAATCTCTTAATAAAAGGTGCTGCTGTGGAAATCTTGCTTTGGTTCTAACAATGAATAAACTCTTTAACAATGAAAATGTTTTGGTGGAATTGGAGGTTATTGACCATGGATCTTGATCACAGTTGCCAGTCAATGTTATTGTTTCTTGATAGATTCCTTGCTTCTTCTTCCTTCGTGGTATAGCCAATACAAGGAGAACAGGTAGAGTGCAAGACAGACCATCAAATCATAGTGGTAGAGTGTTACAGCAAAAAGAAGGAATAAGAAGAAATAAAATATTTTGAAAGCAGTATGTTTTAAACCTGGAGACTCACCAGGCAACTTAACTGCTTCACTTTTCTGGTTAGAAATACCTGCACAATAAGAAGTGGAGCTATCAAGCCAATTTAGTGTTTTCCCCTCATTTATTAAATGGTCAGATTGAGAGTCTGTTCCTCCATCTTCWTTGAGCCCTTCTGAAGATGCCACTACAGAGCTTTCATAATGGTAACTAGGCATAGTATTTGTGCCAGAAGGTGGCATTTTTGTTTCAGCTTTAGAACATAAACAGGAAATTGTATCAACATGGCTTTCTTCCCTATAGAGCTCTTCTGCTTTCTCACTGTATAGATGCTTCTGGGTGCTCAGGAGACTTTTAGATGCTTCTGAACATAAACCCTGCTGCAAATCTTCTTTCTTTCCTGTAGCAGAAGCCTTTACTGCTTCTCCTACAGGTAGAATATTGTCTGGTTGTGCTTTGGCACATTTTTCCCTGCTATTGCATACAGACTTCGTTTCTCCTTGCACTGTTTCATGTACGCATGCATTATAAATACCTAAAACTGATTCCTTTTCAAATTCAGTGTCATATAATACACCCACTGTGTTGAGTTGACAAAGAGCATAATGTGAACCATCATTTCTCCCTTCATGTGTATCAAACGCTGTTTCCTTTTCCTCTGTGGGCCTGTCACTTAGTGCAGTCTCTTGAGGTAGCTTAGCAATTACTGCTTTTTCACTGCCAGGCATTTTTTCTGGAGCACTTTCTGATGTTGTTTTAATTATATAAGCTGTACCTGCCTCTGCTTTCTCTGTAATACCCTGCTCAGAGACAGAAGACTTTTCACAACTCTCTGCCTCCTGGCAGGTAAACAGCTCCTTTGTGGAAGTCGTGCTCTGAGGTTCCATGCTCCCCCTCACTCCCCACCGACCCTCACTCCCCGTTTCTTGCCGCCTCTGCTCCACAGAGTTTGCTTCACTTTCCCTTCCAAATGGTCTTCCTTTATTTGTGTTTTCTGACTTCTCTGTGTCTTTTAATCTCCTGAATCCTCTGTGTTCCTGAGTGTCCTCAGGTCGTTTTTCATCCACCTTGGCAGCCCTGGGTGCCTGCTTGTTATTCTCCACTGGCATAGGTACTGGGTTCAGGGCTTTGGCATTATGTTTCCTGTAAGACTTGAAAGGCTTGGAATCTTCCTCACCAAYTGATGCCAGGTCTGCAACTTCAATGACTTTCTTCTCCTTTCCTACATCGGTGTTAGAACTCTTTTCTGACATTTCACCAACTCCATTTTTCGGCACATATTGGCTTTGTGTGGAATCTTTTGAGACACCAGCATGTGAAAAGGTGCTGGCGTATAAATCKCCTCTTAAATGTACCTGAACATTGCTTTCAACAATCTTGATTTTTCCTTCATTTTTGTCAGTATCTGACAACAATGAATCCAGAGTTTGGTGAGACATTTGTGTTGCCTGCTGCTCCGGAGCTGGATTAGCTTTGCCATCCAGCGTCCTTGCTATGCMTGCATTTAATTGCACAGATTCATCACGCTCTGGCAAAACGGATTCTGGTGTTCTTTCACAGGCTGCTTTTGAGGTACCAGCAGCATCCTCACTGATGAATAACCTCTCCATCATCTTACTTCCCGAGACACTATCTATTTCACCTTTTGAAATATCTGTGCGCCTCTCTCCTTGTTCGTTTGAGCCAGTAGCCTTAATGTTGATGGCATCATTCTGCTCTGTCACAGGAAAATATTTTGCTGATAAAAGGCTTTTACTGGTACCAGTATGTTCCAAAGACCGCTCATAGCTGTTTACTGAGCCATCAGTGACTTCCTTCCCTGGTAGCTGACTATTATAATCTCTTACAGAATACTTAACTTTATCTTTCAATTCTTCTCCTATTGCACGTGAAGGGTTTTCAGATGAGGACCTGATAGGCACAGGGCGCAAGTCATTGCTTCTTTCTATACAGGTTAGATTTTTCACCGATCTTTCAGTTTCACTTGGAAAATTAATTGGCTCTGTTGTGTATAAATTCCTTTCATCTCTGGAAGAGGTACCTCTAGCTCCTGTGAAGTGCTGATTTAACTGAAACAATAGAATAGAAAAGAATGATCAAAAAGTGCTTTGCAAAAATATGCCAAATGAAGGAGGCAGGATTTCCTTATGAAAAGTTTTGTTTTCAGTAACAAAGCTTTTACGGAAACATGTTCCAAACCATTTGCAAAATTTGCATTGCATGTATTTTTTAACATAGGTAATGAGCTTTATGGTGGTGCTTAAAGGAGAAGGAAATAAAATAGTGCTCAGAACCCTCTCTCTTTATTCATGAGTTCTGTAAGCTGCTACTGCATTTTAAACAATTTAAATCTGAAGAGAATATTCCCTTAATTTGTTCCCTATATATTTGATTCTAGATTTGTAGAGAGGAAACTGTGGGGTGAGAATGGATATTGGCACTTAAATGAGGACATTGATACAGTACATCAATGTCCAGTAATGGACAGTGTTGTCCAGTAAACAAAGACACATTTCACATGAACAAATACTGTAAGGATTATCTGTACTTCATTTCTCTCAGGGACCATTTTACAGGCTTCAAACCAGACTGTTTTTAGACAATCTGGTAACACATGAGCTGGAAATGAGATTAGGAAAGTAAAAGGCCAGAAACTAATCATTCCCCCTCCTAGCTCCCAAATATCATATTGTATTATTCAGCCATGCCTGCTTGTCATTGCACTCTCTTCTCACTTTAGCAGAGTCACACTGATAGCACTAGCTGATCAATTAGAGGCTAGCTTCTTGGGCACCCTTTTATACATCTGCACTTGCTGTAGATACCCCCATTACAGTGTCTCTTATTAATATGTTTTCTGCAAAGCCTCTGCAAACTATTAATAGTAAAACGTCACTCAAAGAAAAGTGAGGGAGCTAATGTCTCTGCAAATTCTGTTTTAATGACCCTCTGCCAACCAGTGCTCAAGTGTATTTGAGTTCTTCGGTGATGCCAACTGTCAGGATTTAACAGTGAGATGCCTGTGTTTTTTTCCCCTCCTCATAACTGACATTTGCATGATCTCAATAATTATATGCAAATCTTACGATTTCCCCTTCTTCTCACATAAGGCTCATGCTACTTGTCAACTGCACAGCTGTCTTGTGAGCCAATGCCTGTGTGTTTCAAAGATTTGGTTGTATTTCCATGTATTATAAGCCTTCATTGTTTAATTCATTAAAGAGCGCACAGTGCAAATTAACATCTAAATTATAGCTCCCCCTTCATTTATTGTACGAACAAGTCTGGCAATTGATAAACAAATGGTTATATTTGATCCCCTTTTTTTGTAAAAGGGTGGACTGAGAATAACAAGGGATTTTAGCGGTCCTCCTTTGCACGGTTCACCATAAAGAAAAAAAAAAAMCAACAAACATTGACTTTCAGGCAGTGAAAGGTTCCACAATAGGCGACAATTTTCAACTTTTTAAAATAAAAGACAAGAAAAATTTATATTCAAATTAGAGGAATTCTTTTTCTCTCTATCAATAAGAAAAAAAAGAACGGTTCCCAGCTTCCTCTCTTGTCTGATTCAGCATTCACATTTTCACAGGTGATAGCTATTATAATCTATGATTATGAATCTGTGCACCCAAATGATATGAGCTGAGAACAGACACTGGGAATAATAGATTGCTGTATGTGTCTCATTTATTGCCATTTTTTCTTTCATACTGAAAAATGCAAGGCAAACCACACACACACATGCAAGCACACAAATCCTAATAGATTGAATGTTCACTGAGTGTGAAATTCATTGTAAAAAATGTAATGTAAAATACTGATATAGAAAAACCTGCTAATATAAATACTTACATACTTATTCTGCTCATATAGCTATAATTTCAAAAATCTCATAAGTAAACAGTTCTACAAATATAAAAATTTTACAAATAGAAAACATATATTTAAAAGTATTCCCATCCTAGAGACAAGGAGAGGAAATTTTTTAGATGTTACTCTTCTAATTCCTTAGAACTGTCATTTAGAGCCTCTGGTAAAGAAGCAAAAGGAAGAAGTCATTAATTTAAGACCAGAAAAAGTTGATGCACTATACGGAAATCAAAGTACCTTCTTTTGTTGAATCAGTTAGAGATTCAGTGTAAGTAGAGACCAAGGCTTTACATTTGTAAATTAGTACATCAGTCAGCTCTGTTAAAAGGGRGCATTTCACCAGCTTTGAAGCGTAAATGGATTCAAATCATTTAATACTGTAGATATAATTGTATAACACTTACCAGCAACTCTAATTCTTTTTCATCATCTTTGTGATCACCCTGGATGTATTCTGCATTTTTCTCTTTTATATTTTCATTAGCTCGTTTGGTGTCTTTGTCTTCTGCTTGTGAATAAACAATCTCTGGGATGTTTGTACCTGAAGGGTTAACAAAAACATAGTTGAATAATTTCCATGAGGTTGGTTGTTACACTATTTTTAATTAACATGTGCAGTAAGGAAGAACTAATTAAACCGGGTGTTGTACCTGAAGTCCTTGAGTTATTCCATGTGCCATCATCAGACGTTGCCAATATTTCTTCTTTTCTGTTAAACAAAAAGAAATTTCCTGTGTTATTCTGCAGAAATTATTGTTCTAATTCCTCTTAGACTCAAGTATAAAGACTACTAGTTAATTACACACAATTTTGAATGCTGTTTGAAATTCCAAAAACAACAGCCACATAAAATGTAGCTTTTTTTGAGTGACCTAATATTAAAGCTTGGTCATAGGAAAGAATTGGCCAAGAAAATGAGAATGTGTTGGCCTTCAGATTACATTGCAAATCTGATGGGTTTTTCCAGGCTTTTTCTGAGAAAGAAGCACAAAGGTGATTAGATGGGTCAGTGACAGGAAAGCATAATTTTGGGGTCAGGCAAGAGTCTGGAAGGATATATGTGTTCGAGAGGAAAGAGCTCTCTCTTGCTTCTGTTTTTCAAATATTTGTATGTATACAGAGATGGCTGGAAAAAGGCATCTTTGTTACCTGAAATAAATCAAAAGATTCTCCCTGCATGTGTACAGTATAAATCCTGTTGCTAAGCTATGCCTGGCCAGCAGGAATGAATTCTGCTTCCCTGCAGCCAGTGCAAATTTTTCTGTTGATTTTCTGGCTGCGAAAACAAAGGCCAGGTTCAACACAAAAATCATCTACAGAGAGATGCTGTGTGCCTGCAGTTCACATCGATATCAATGCAAAGTCCTAGCAGTTCAAATTGTGTGCTTATAGGGATCTAACCTTTAGTGGAAAAGGGAAAAAATATTAAAAGATTGTCACTTATGTAAAATGTAAATTATTATATCATTCCTGATGACTTCTCTATGAGGAGCGATTTTTTTTCCCCGTAGGTTTTAATTTGTGTGATTTTCAACCAGCCGTCCACCTCTGTTACTGAAAATTACTTTCTAATTTTCAAATATTAATCTTTTCCCCTTCTATTTTCTCCTAGTGTCTTCCATTTGAATTAATATAACATTAACTCTGCCACCTAAATGCTTAATTCAGAAGGAGGATGCTAAATTTACACTCTGTTAAAAGAACGCAGACATCTCCTGTCACCAACTTTTTAAAAACCAGTCTTTATAGGGATTGCCAGACTAAAGCAGACAGCAGCTCTTGCCAGTCTAGCACCTGATCTCTGACACTGGCCACCATCAGATACTTCAGGGGAAKATGTAGAGTTCTTGTAGGAAAATACTTGGAGTAATTCGCACTGCCCTCTTAAATTTCCTCTTGCCCATTTTTTGTTAAAAGCTGTCCTTGAAGCACAAGATTTAATGCTCTCTCGGTGGTTCTTTTTCACCATTAATTGCAATAATGCTAAATATTCTTGCAATCCATATGAATGTCATGTCACTCTTGAATCCTGGTACGTGCATAACCTCCATGTGTTTCTCACTCTTCTGCTCACACTGAGTTGTACATTTCCCTGCCAGCAGTCACTATAATCTGCATTTCATTCTGAAAAGGTGGGCAGAACTACCTTTTCCAGTTGAATCTGTGGAGTTTTTTAAGGTAAATCATTAGTGCTTATTATTTATACAKAGGGATTTGGGGGAGGGTGGTTGGGGTTTTGTTTGTTTGTTGGGGATTTTTTTACTGTTCAAAGGCTTGAGTTAGCGTTGCATCTAGTTCCCAGTTTTCTTCTGCCCTTTTGCATCTTCTTCACTCACCTGCTTCCACAAATCTAGACTCTGTGTAGGTCAGGGTTTAACCCTGATACAGACGCATCAAAACATTTAAGTGCTATTAGGGTGCCTGCAAAAGCCCCAGATTAGGAGCCAAGAYATGTATAACATATGAACTGAATCATCACCCCAAAACAATGATCCCCAAATCACATGGGTCTGGCAGAAAAACTTCCACTGCTTTCCTGTGGGAAAAGAAAGAGCGTCTTAAAGTGTCTTTGAACATTTGTTTGAACATAGCTGACCACCTGCATCATTCAGCTGTATGGTGCAACACTTGGGAAGCAGGGATGGCACCATTTGCTGCCAGAAAGAACTCTTGTCTACTTCTTAAAGGAACCGAGTTTGACAGATTTTTTTCATTCAAGAAGCATTCCTAGAAGAAGGGGAGATGTTGATGACTATATCTAGCATAATATTTTACCGGTAGCTAGAGTTGRCATCCAGCCAATGTGGCATCTAAGTAAAAGTGCCATTTTCAGTTTCTATCACACCCTCATGTGATAAAAAACCCCACTGCACATCATTCATGCAAAAAATACTCAGATTACCAGATATGGAACATTTGGGGAAAAACTGGAGGGCAATTTGCCTGCTCCGAATGCAGCAGAATGTACAAGCAGGATCCTTGYTCTTTAGCTTAATTTTCATACCTTGGAGAAAGGACAAACTGGATTGTGCCGAATTTCCTGTGTTTCTTATGCTGTAAATATTTTTGGTTTAAATATTTGATTAACAAATTTTTAGTGTAGAAATATAGACATAGTGTTTGAATAAAACTGCTAAGGATGAGTACCTATTTTATAAAAGTTTAAATGTACAGGTATAACCATACTTCAAGCTGGATAATTACAGGTGTGTGCCAGGGTAGTGTCTCCTTATCTACCCTTATTCTTTTAAGCATCTGTGTTCAGGCAGTCCTGTATTTCTTCCCCTTATCAGTGATGAGAGATTAACACTTCTGAAAGGAGATTCATCCCCTCCAACATGGGCATGATGAGTAAGATGGGGTGACACTTCTTTCAAAGGACCTTTTCTGCCTCTGAAAGAGAGTGACCATGAAGGGAACCTAGAGCTTGAGCCATTGTTTAAAGCTGCATCAATCTCATCTTGTAACTATATATTCAAACTGGAATGTAGCTATGGATTTTTAGCGGCTGGGACTGTACTTTTGCTGTGATTATAGTTGAATTTTTCCTTAACTTTTGTTCTAATAGCAGCTGGAGCCCTGATCCACAAGTTTCTTTTCACAACAGCAACACAAGTAAAAATAGCAATGATAACACAAACTCACAGCAGGGATACACACTGCAGGGCTTGTAGCATAATTTCTTGTCTGCTGCACTGAATTTTATAAAGATTGCKGGTTTATAGCCCATTATTTTGCACACTGTCTTGCAAATACCTGAGTTCAGGGAATGTTAATGCAACAGTTATTTTACTTATTTTAATTTTGTATCAAAAATATCTGTCCTCATATCATTTTTCTCATGGGAAATCTAAAATTAGCTTTAATTGAGGATATTGATACTGCTACATACTAGTGTTTGAGGATCACAAGGAGCATAAAACAATAGTAATTTAAATCACTATTTCAATTTAACAAATGATATGGAGATRTTGAAGCTATGTGTGCATATAACTACAGAACAATCTTGAACATATATGTATACCCTAGGGACTGAAGTATTTCTCTAAAGCCAATAAAAATTAGCCCCTTCATCAAACAGGGGCAATTAGAAGGTATTTGTCTAGTTAGCAAGTTTTYTCTCCCTATTTCTCTGAAAAGGTTGTAGCACAGTATCAGAATTCCATAAGCAGATTTTAAAATTAGAATTAATTAAGCTTTTGTTTTAGAAATTAATTATTGCACTTTGTGAAGGATGGTCTAAATTTACCTACATTRTAAGAGACAGAAAATTTCTATTCTTTTTAAAGAGTTTACTTTTATTRTTAAGAGATACAGGTATTCTGACAGCAAGGCAAGCAAAAAAAAATCCATTAAGTCAGCTGATGAAATTCCATTCCATCATAAGTACYTGTAAATCTGCAAAAGCTCTGTTGCTTTTTCTCACTCAGCTGAACGAGGTGTACCTTCACAAAGTGCACCAGGAGCTAACAAACTTCTATCAGCTTAAAAACCCCAACAACCTATGTTCATATGATTCATTCTTGATGAAGTTATCATTCACTTGTACTAAATTATAAAAACAAATCAGGACTGAAAACAGCTTATCACTGTAATTTTGCATTAGAAMAAATATGAAGTTCAGGGAGGGGCTAGTTAGTAGGACTGAGAGAACTGAAAATGTGATAGACATTATGTGAAGGAGTTCAGAAGTCCTAAAATTAAGTGGAATTGGCATACCAGAGAGGAAATGGTAAAGTTGAACCCTAAAGATGTGAAGTGTGGATAGCAAACGTGTAAGTGACAMGAAAAAAAAAATTAGCCAATCAACAGTATTTCTTTGACTTCATGAAGGGTTGGAATAAACTAAGGCATGTCTAGGCTATCAAACTAGCCTTTTAAAGTTCAATAAGAATTATTTTTGAAGTGAGTTTTTGTCAAGATTAAGATAATCTCTATATAACCCCACAATCAAAAGACTTCTCATAAACTCTTCTACCACAGTGCTAGTTGAGGGGCATTTTTTCATAGGAACAGGTATCYTGCAGGGCAAAACTGATAGGAACAGCATTTTCCTCTGAAGGAAATTTAGAAAATGATGTTATTTCATCCAGTGTGGGAGCAGAACTTGTTTTTTGAATACACTCCAGTTAARAGAAGCAGATAATCTCCAATCCAAATCTGAGAGACACAATAGAGAAAAACACATATTGTTTTAAAACCTTTACTATTCAGATCTATCAAATTGGTCCTATACTGTAACAATATCAGAAGAGTAGAAAAAGTAGTAGCTTTGTTTAGGAAAATAGAAGAGAAATAGTGTCAAGACAACTATGGACCCAGATGTCTTCAAAAAATTTCACAATAGATTTAGATCAAAACTTAAATGAGAGAAGAAATACAGATAAACTGAAAATGGCATAAAAATGCCAGACTCACCTGATAATATCTGTCTTTGATAAGATTACTATATTTCCCTTGTCTAAAAATCAGTTATCTGGACTTCATTAAAGCATTTGTTGTGCAGCCACATGGGAAATTTATTAATTAAACAGGAGAAGAGGGAGATGAGTATAAGAGCTGGGCGGTGGGAGTGGGGCTCGGTGCCAAGCAGGGTCCCACGAGCTGGGCTGTGGAGCTGGCAGGAATCACTGGGGAATTGGAGAGGACAAGTCATGCAATCAGACTTACTCAGTCATGTTATTACAGACCAAAGCACAAGAAGTCAAA